ACCATCAGTACCGGCGTTTATTAAATCAAATTGGATGGATAGAGAAATTTTAATTTCTTCTATTGGTTTGTTATTGTCTGCCTCGCTTTCGACGATTATCGAATAATTTCCTTCAAGAGAGAAGTAAACAAAATTTTCATTCTGAGTTTCGAGTTGTTTTAAATTTATTGCAAACTTTCCTATGAATGTTTCATTAAGTTCAAGACCGGAAATAATTTGGCACGAGTTAGTCGAGGCATTTTCAATAAGCCTTGCAAATTCTGCCGCATCCCATGACAATTTAAAAGCACATGGCCATTTTGTAATCATGAATTTATTCGTTTCTGACCAACACCCTATGATTGCAGGATTATTTATACCAAGTACAGGTTTATCTTCCTCTATGTTAATTTTTCCCTTAAAACTTCGTGTTTCTATGTCATAATTTAAATGAAGTCCAGCGAAACTAATATCAAATAATTTGAGAAAACCTTTTATATCGATGCTGTTCTTATTAATCTCTAATGATATCTTGTATTTGAACAATTTAACAAGTCCTAAATTTATTTTCGAATTTTTGTCAGCATATATTAATTCAACATTTTTTTCATCATTGAATTTTGCAATGACTTCAAGATCATTTACGCCAAAGAAATCTATATGAGCTTTAGCATAAAGTCCTTTAGCATAAAAATTTTCACCAATGTTTATTTCTTTTTTGGAATAATATAACTTTCCACTACGAAAAGTGATATCTGGGAAATCTGGCCATTCTATCGTATCATTAATAAATGTATGTAATATATACATAATTCCAATTTTTTGACTGATGTTAATGCTGAGAACTTGGAATATTCCACCCGAAAATAGTAACTTTCCTTCTAAAATAATCTCTTCTGTATTTCTTGAAAACATAACTTTAACTTCAAAAATGTATACACTTTCTTTAATTCTTCTTCCACTTGTCATATCATCTTCATATTCAAATGTCATAAAAATATTAATTATTTCTACTTTTAAACCCCATATTTTAAATAGGTGGTTAATAATTGATGGCATTGTTTTTGATTCCACTTCGAATAAAGAATTATTTTGACTTATATTCAAATTTCCCCTGACTTTAAAATCTGTGTCAAGAACAAAAAGATCTTTGAAATTCAACATTCCTTTAATACTTAATTTCGGTATTTCGTCTTCAGTGACGCTTGGTTTGTATGTAAATGTAATCATTTCAAAGCTTAATCCGCTATACAATGTTAGATTCTTGACAGCTCCTCTAAATTCACTACCAACCAAAGCGCCAGTACCCAAGCATAACGCGACCTTAATTTCTGGTGAATCAGACTCAGGAATAATTGTTGCATGAAAATTTTCTAATAAAATATAGTTTGATTTATAATTTATTTCTGAATATAAACTTACACCTTGCTTTAATGTAGGCTTGTAAACATCTTCCCGACCCGAAGGTAATTTAATTGAAATGATATCATCTAATTGTTTATCATCTACTCTTTTATCGAGTTCCTTAATTATGTTATTTAGTTCCTCCTTAATATGATCAAATGTTGCATCTTGATATGATACGAGTACGAGATTACCAAGCGTTAAAGATAACGTCTTATCTATATTAAATACTATAGGTGATGAAATAAACAAGTCTTTAAATTGAAAGTCTTGAGAAGTTTTTAATGCAAAAACATATCCCCATTTTTCTGAAGGTAATATTCTCATTACAGTCGAGGACTTTGTATTTAATTTTTTAAATAAGAGCATAGCATTTCCAATCTCCTCAATCGTCACATATAATGCAACAATCTTTTTGAAAAGATGAATATAAAAGTAAGCTTCTGGACTGGATGGTCTTACGACGAATTTTGGTGATTTCATATCCTCAGGTTTTCTACGTGACCATTTATCATCACCATTAACATCTGACTGCAAAAGTGTATCAACAACATTTGAAATATTGACAGAGCAATCATTTTCAATAGAATATACATTTGCGAAAATGGCATCATTACCATCAGACTTTGATTTTACAATAATTAATTTAAGTTTTGTTCCGTCGTTCAAAGTAAATATTCCGTCTAGTGACGCCTCATATTTTTTATTTGCTGTCTTATCGTAGTTAATTGATACTCCAATAGATTCTAGTTTAATTAAAGGGATTTCTGGAAATACATAAGACTCTTCATTCTTTGTAGATACCCTAAATTCAGTTATTTGTAGTTTTGTCGAGATTGTTATAGGATGTTGATACCTTTGAATCACTGGGTA